GAAGTTGCACTGTACAAAGATTATCTGGAAAGTAAGGTTACAAGGCATGTAGCTCTCGTGGGGAATTTCTCGGGGGAAGTTGGTATCACTGCTGTGTAGTGCTAAGCCTGTGGAAGCGAACGAGCAGTGCCAGTCGTCGGTAGCTCATCAACTGACGTTGTGGTGAAGGTTAGAGATGAGCGTCCTCATTCTGTTTCCCTCCAAGTGCAAAGTTCACGCTCTAATACGCTACCTGAATGCTAAAGGCATGAACGTCGCTGCGATTCATTGTGAAATTGTTTCACTTTATGAAGATAAAATGTCAATGACAAAATGGGAATGGAATATATTGTGAAACCACGAAGAAACTTTGCAGAGCTGTCCCAAACAAATGCCGTGGGATGCTGACGGCAGGAGTCTGTCTCCTTCATGACAATGCGTGTTCACACACCACTCATGCAACACAAGAGTTATTGACTTCTTTTGGTTGGGATGTTTTAAGCCATCCCGATCTCACACCCAGTGACTATTGTCTGTTCAATAAATTGAAGGAACATCTGGATGGAAAACACTTTTCCGACGAGGTGAAAATCGAAATGATGAACTGGCTGAAAAAAAGGCGGGGGGAAACTTCTATGATGCAGGCATCAAAAACTCGTCCCATGGATGACAAAATGGATTGAACTGAATGGTGATTATGTGGAAAAATATTGTGAAACCTATGCTACAATCCATATAAGTTTTATTAAAATATATTATTCTATTTTTAAAAAATACTTTGCAGATACCCGGTGTAGACCCACGGGATCTACTAAACTGATTTGTGTGTTATCTCACCATTTACATAGTGTTGTAGATCAGCCTAAAGCTCATGAGGCTGATGGATTCACTGATGATTTAGAGAGGATTGTGGAATTGCTTGCGGGATTTCCTAGGCCATGAAATGATGAAGATTCAAGTCAGGGGAATGATGCTTCTCTGTCTGAGAAATCGGACTTGGAAAGTGCAGGGCTTCAAGGTTAGTCAGAGGAGCCAGAAACTGCAACATTAGATAAGTTGGGTGAAGAACCGATACAGAAGGCTCCCCTGGAGCAACGAAGGTCAACAAAGGTCTTCAGAGCAGAAGAATAGGCATCGCAGGTCAGAGCAATTGTGGAGATAATTAATGGGAAATGAAATGGTTTCATGGGTGTCTATTAAATAAGCAAGTTGTTTACCTAAGAGTTAATTCAGGCAATGTAGCGTTCAAGTGAGAAGCTAACCTTACTTTCTGGATAACCCTCGTGTACTTTCATAAAACAAGGTGCCAGCATTGGAACATGGCAAAATAATATAGTAGTCACACAAAATAAAAGGGGGGGATCTTTTTTGGCACAATCTAAAAGGGTGTTTGGATTCACTCAGAATTACATTCTCAATCCAAAAAAAGACATACATTACTAGATTTAAGTCTTTCCGCTTGCCATCGTGTTCCATCACTCCTGTTTTCTTCTCTTTGACGCTTTGTTCTTTCAGTTGCCATTATGTATATGGCTTTATCTCCTCTTCTTACATACAAGGGAAAGGCTGTATTTTTGTTTCCACAGCAAAAACAGAAAAAATGGCATGCTGAGAATACAAGTGTCGGTTGGCATTACTTGCCCTCCAAGAAAATACTCCTCTGGGAGGGAGAAGGGCACTTTCCGAATCACAAGAAAAAGGCACATTGATACTGTACAAAACTTGCACTTTCGATCCAGGTGGAGCCCGTTCTCATCAATATGGTGGGTGTTCGGACATTGGGAGTCACAACGCTCCTAACCACGGACTCGCTCCTCCTTAAAGCTTGGATCTGGGGTTCGACTGCAGCAGGAGGCGCATGTCCAAAAGGGCCTTTTCCAAATAGTGCGCCATGCGGGCGGCATTGGTTTCGCCACAGCTGTTGAAGGCGGAGATGGCAAAGTTGATGTGGTCGTCCATGGGGTTGTAGCAGATGCCGTAACCATCGGGGACGACTGGACCGAAGCACATCACGCAGTCGGTCTTGGCAGGAACCTAGAGAGAAGAACACATTTATATACAGTTTAAAAACTCCTAGTCGTCTTGTCAAGCTATGAATTTTGGGTTTCTTTTACCAGGGACAATGGCAAATGTGAATGGAAGCTGTACAGTACGACTTTGAGTTTTATTTTTGTTACCTTACCATAATAAGGCAAGAAGAACATGAAGAAGAAAAAGTTGAAGAACAAGAAATCAAGGTAGAAAAAGAACAAGAAACAGAAGAAATACTAGAAGAACCAGAAGTAAAGTAATATAACAAGAAATAGTAGTAATAAAAGAACAAGTAGAACAAGATGTAGAAGAAGAAGAGACAGAAGTAGTAGACAAAGGAGTAGAAGAAATAGAAGTACTAGAAGAACAAGAAGCTGAAGTAATAGACCAAGAAGTAGAAGATGTAGAACTAGAAATAGCAGATGTTAGAAGAACAGGTAGAAGTAATAGATCAAGAAATAGAAGTTAAGGTAGAACCAGATGGAGAACAAGAAACAGGAGTAGTATACTAGTAGTAGAACAAGAAGTTGAAATAATAGACCAAGAAGTAGAAGATTTAGAAAAACTAGAAATAGCAGATGTAGAAGAACAGGAAGAAGTAATAGAACCAGAAAAAGAAGTTAAGGTAGAACAAGACGAAGAACAAGAAACAGAAGCAGCAGACAAAGAAGTAGAAGGAATAGAAGTACTAGAAGAACAAGAAGCTGAAGTAATAAACCAAGAAGAAGAAGAAGATGTAGAAGAACTAGAAATAGCAGATGTTAGAAGAACAGGTAGAAGTAATAGATCAAGAAATAGAAGTTAAGGTAGAACCAGATGGAGGAGAACAAGAAATAGAAGTAGTAGACAATGAAGTAGAAGAAATAGAAGTACTAGAAGAACAAGAAGCTGAAGTAATAGACCAAGAAGTAGAAGATGTAGAAGAACTAGAAATAGCAGATGTTAGAAGAACAGGTAGAAGTAATAGATCAAGAAATAGAAGTTAAGGTAGAACCAGATGGAGAAGAACAAGAAACAGGAGTAGTATACTAGTAGTAGAACAAGAAGTTGAAATAATAGACCAAGAAATAGAAGATTTAGAAAAACTAGAAATAGCAGATGTAGAAGAACAGGAAGAAGTAATAGAACCAAAAATAGAAGTTAAGGTAGAACAAGATGGAGAAGAACAAGTAACAGAAGCAGCAGACAAAGAAATAGAAGGAATAGAAGGAATAGAAGAACAAGAAGCTGAAGTAATAAACCAAGAAGTACAAAAGGATGTAGAAGAAAAACAAGAAATAGTAGATGTAGACCAAGACGTAGAAGAACAAGAAACAGAAGAAGTAAACAAAGAAACAGAAGTACTAGAACAACAAGAAGCTGAAGTAATTAGACCAAGATGTAGAACAAGAAGTAGAAGAAGAACAAATAGAAGTAGTAGATCAGAGAAAGCCAACCCCTATGTATAGGATGGACCTGCGTCGGATGTTACCAAGGATCAGAGGAATGCGTAGAGAAGAGCGGTACCTGGCTGGTGGAGAGGTTGAAGTGCATGGCCACGGCGAAGGAGGTGTCCATGAAGAGCTCCGGCATGCTCACCAGGTCCTCTATGGCCTGGAGCTTCAGGCCCAGGAGATGGCGGTCAATGGCATCCCCTCGGATGGCCTGCAGAGAGGAAGGAAATACCATGAAATCCGCACGATTTCCGGCAGTGTCTCCCTGTTATCGGTCCGATTTCTCACCATGTCTGTGTAAGCACGATGGGCTTGGGTCGCTCGCCTCAAGAGCTCCACCTTCTCCTGCTCCTGAAAAGGAGGAAAAAGAAGAGCTGGACTCATCAAAAAGCAACTCAGAATATTAAATGCAAGTGGCAGATATTTCACGCCTGTGTCCCACCTGCTTTCCGGAATCATCCATGGCCTGGACAAACTTGAGGGAATCGACAGAGGCCGAGCGGATGGTGTCCGTCCGTCCGAGGCGGAACATGCGGAGCGAGGCACTTTCGTACGTGGCACAGGCCTCATTGTACATCCTAGGAAGGAAGGAAGGAAGGAAGGAAGGAAGGAAGGAAGGAAGGAAGGAAGGAAGGAAGGAAGGAAGGAAGGAAGAAAAGAGAGAAGGAAGGATGGAACCAAAGAGAAAAGAAAAAGAAGTAAAGAAAGAAAGAAATAGAAGAGAGGGAGGGAGGGAGGGAGGGAAATAGAAGGAAAGAAATGGAAGGAAGGAGAAAAAGAAAGAAATAGAAGGAAAGACATGGAAGAAGGGAGGGAGAAATAGAAGGAATGAAAAAGAAGGAAAGAAATGGATGGATGGATGGATGGAAGGAAAGAAGGAAGGAAGGAAAAGAAGGAAGGAAAAAGGAAAGAAAAGGAAGGAAGGAGAAAGAGCAATAAAGAAAGAAAAAGAAGAAAAGAAATGGAAGGAAGGAGAAATAGAAGGAAATAAAAAGGAAGGAAGGAGAAATAGAAGGAAAGAAATGGATGGAAGGAAGGAGAAACAGAAGGAAAAAAATGGAAGGAAGGTATAGAAGTAAAGAGAAAGAAAGAAATAGAAGAAAGGAAAGAGAAAGAAATGGAAGGAAGGAGAAATAGAAACAGAAGGAAAGAAAAAGAAAGAAATAGAAGGAAGGAGAAAGGAAGGAAAGGGGAAAGGAGAGAAAGGAAAGAGGACAGAGAGAATGGGAAGGAAAGGAAAAAGGACAGGAGTGAAAGGAAATATACACATTAATACAGTCCGCATTTGCTGAAGGTCAAGGCACAAGAACCCCATGAAAGTTTAAAAACAAATCAAGAAAATGTTGATTTTCTTTCTGCGAGAAGACTTCTAGGATTTTCGAGGCTTTCCAGCACATTCATATGGGTCAATTTCCTTTAAAAGCTGAACATAGAACCACATAAGAAGATCTAGAGATTCCCAGGAATTAGAAATCTCTCTCTCCTCCCGCAGAATTGGAGGAAGTTGACCTTAGAGTGACACTGGAGGAGTGAGAGGTTCCTCCAGAGGACATATTTGATCGAATCTGCAAATGTGGAGGATGACGGCACTCTCCGATATGAACCCCATCTTCTGATGGAAACGAGAAACGCAACCTCCTCCATACCTTCTCCTCTTACCTGTAATAAGCCAATTGCAGGGCCATCTGGATAAAAGCGTCCGGACTGATCTTCTGGGACTTGGGGAAGTTCTTCCCAAACTGGTGGAAGACGATGGCGGAGATGTCCAAGTCCTGGACCAAGCTGAGGAAAGGCAGAAGAAAGAGAGGGAAGAACATTATGACAACCCCATTTTGCTCAAGATGATGCAGAGAATTACCCACTCTTCTTTACCCTCTCCTCAACTCACATGTTGAGGTTCTGTTTGGCCTTCTCGATGTCGTTCTTGATTTCTGGGGTGATGTTGAACCGCAGCTTCTTGGGCATGGGCAGAGGGACCATGGGGGACCTCACCATCTCCGGCTTTTTCCTGCGGAGGGATGGCAACCGTACAGTCGCATTTCAGTTAAGAACCCTACACACCTGGTTCTGTACTATGGGTTGAATGTGCGTGTGTGGGACGGTGGGTCCTTACGTGTACTCCACAACGTGGTCCAACATAGCAACGATAGGGGGGCCCTCCGAGGGCGCGTGTTCGTAGACCAAGCCGCAGGATCCATCCTCTGCCACAATAAACTAAGGAGCGGAAAACGGGAGAACAATGCTCAGGATGCAGTCGAATAACTCATCTATCTTGAGTTGTTTGTCTCTGGGTATGTTCTACCACTAAATGTGAAGGCTATGTGTCCATTGAGTATGAAGGCCACCAAACATGAAAACCACCTGTTCTGCTTTTTAGCACGAAGGCCACATGTTCCATTTAGCACAGTGGCCATGTGTTCTCCCACCACACATGTTCTTCTACTGAGTATGAAGACTGTGTGTTCTACTACTGATCATGAAGACCACATGTTCTACCATTGGGCATGAAGACTAGATGGTCTATCACTGAATATGCAAACTATATATTCTACCTTTGAGCATGAAAACTACATGTTCTATCATTGAGCATGAAGACCACATGTCCTGCCATTGAGCATGACCATGTATTCTCCCATCAAGCATAAGAATACATGTTTCAGTATTGATCATGAAGACCACATGTTCCACCATTGGGCATGAAGACTAGATGGTCTAGCATTGAATATGCAAACTATACTACCTTTGAGCATGAAGCCCACATGTCCTACCATTGAGAGTGACCATGTATTCTCCACCAAGCATGAGGGTGACATGTTCTATCATTGAATATGAAGACCACATGTCCTGCCATTGAGTGTGACCCTGTATTTTCCCACCAAGCATGAGACTACATGTTTCAGTCTTGAGCATGAAGACTTCATGTTCCACCATTGGGCATGAAGACTAGATGGTCTATCACTGAATATGCAAACTATATATTCTAGCTTTGAGCATGAAGCCCACATGTCCTACCATTGAGTGTGACCATGTATTCTCCACCAAACATGAGAGTGACATGGTCTATCATTGAACATGAAGACCACATGTTCTACCACTGAGTGTGATCATGTATTCTCCCACCAAAGATAAGACTACATGCTTCAGTATGAAGGCCACATTTTCTGCCATTGACCATGAATGCTACACGTTTCACCTTTGATTATGAAGACTACATATTTCAGCATCGATAAAGAAGATGACATGTTCCACCAATGAGCTTGAAGACCATGTATTCTCCCACCAAACATGAAGACTGCATGATCTATCATTGAATTTGAAGACATGTTCTACTACTGAGCATAAAAACCATGTATTCTCCCACTAAACATGAGATGATGTTTCAGTATTGAATATGAAGACTATATGTTCTACCATCAAACATGAAGACTACTTGTCCTACCATTGAGCATGAATGCATGTTTCACCATTGAGTATAAAGATGAAATGCTTCACCATTCAACATGAAGACCACGTGTTCTACCATTGACCCACCTGGAGGGTCTTGTCGAACCACCGATTCCCACTGTTCCACCGGCTGCCCCCTCCGTGCAGCATCTGGGCGGCCACCCGGCTGCGGTAGATGTCATCCGAGACACGGGGCATTGGAGCGTCCAGGCAGATGGTGAAGATGCTCTTCTCGATGGAGCGCACCGACTCCTTGTTCGTCTTGTCTGTGGAGAGGCCAAAACAGGGATATCTACCTCTCAATCAGGATGGGACCATTGAGGGGTCCCTCCATATTCACAGACAGGCTCCCACCTCCACAAACCACTATAACTTCCACCACTCAGGAGATACCAATGGTTCTCCCTCCAATAACATTGCCAATTATGGTGAGCGCCGTGAAGATGTCCAAGAGCTCTGCCAGTGTCCTCCACCAACACCATTCTGCCC